CTTTAACCTCGTCCTTTTTTTTTTCCCCTAGGAACTTTTGCCAGCACTATTATTTCATTTTTACTTACAACTCCAGAGCATCAGGGCTCCCCGTACAGGCCACCACTTGCCGTGAGCCACGACTCCGTCCAGCAGAGCCGAGGAAAGACGACACAGACACCAAGGTGAGGTTCAGGCTTCTTCTTTATTACGCACTTCAGTCCTTATACAGTTTGTTCCCAACAGCCCTCCCCCCAGCCAGGACCAATCAGGGCACACACACACACGCAGCAGGCAGGGAGAGTGGCAGCTCATTGGGGCATGTCCTTTCCTAAGAGTAAAGATCCTTGTGGGAGCAAAGCTGTTCACAATAGAAGTCTTGGAAGTAAGCTGCAAATACCACTTCACTCTGCCATGTGTAAAGAGCCAAGAAGACACCTTTTACCACCTTTTACCATCTCTGTTCCAGGGACCATCTGGATTCCTTCAGGCATTGTTTAAACCTGAACCACCAAAGAGGTTCCTATCACATGATTTCCAAATTTCAGAAAGACTTCTGTTGTTTTGGTTTTTTGCGACATGGTCTCTCCCATGTAGCCCAGGCTGGCCTCAAACTTTCAGTACCTCTGCCTCAGCCACCTAACTGCTGGGATTACAGGAGTGCACCGTCACCCCCAGCTGGAGGAAAGAAGTACATAAATAGGCGGAAGAAGTAGGTTTAGTGGTAAGTGCTCTAAAGGTACGACCAATGCTTGAACAATTCCTTCAAGGCTTGTACTCTCCACAACAAAAGGTTTGAATGTTGCAGAGGACCCAGGTTCGATTCCACACCGGATAGTGAGAAAGGATTTCCCACATTCATTACATCTGGATGATTACAAAAATGCCTATAGTTCTCAGTCCACGGCAGTTCCATGTCAGCTGGGGCACCTTGATTGTCAATTTGACAGGTGCATTCCCCTTACTAGACACAATGACACATAGGGAATGACTTAAACAATATCTACAGCTTGCAGCATGTGGGCCCCAAGGTGATTCTGATGGAGACTGTGGGGGCTCCTGACAATAATCATAACCCTAAACCTAACAGGGCAGTCTGTGACTTGGAGGAAGCATGTCACTGGGGGGGTCCTCTGCAAGAGCAGTCAGCGCTTAGAACTCACCATCTCGACTAGCCATCTTAGCTTCCAGAACACCACTATGAACTCATATTCATATTGGATTTGTGTGTGTCTATATA